CCAATCTTTCTCTAACATCCTGTCAGTGGAGAAGAGCCCTTAGGAGCTTCGCATGAATGACATTAGAAAGCATCTGCATAAAATTACTTTCTTTTCCTCCCTTGTGTATATTAGATCAAGTCCTCCGAGTAAAAAAGTACATACTATTCTGCTACTTGTCTGTCTTTCCCATTGAGTTTTTATTTTTTATTTTGGACATTCATACATTGACATTGCAATGAACTTGGAGTGAGTGTAGGATATTTTTGATACTGCTTTATCTCTATTTAACCCATGTTAGCATTTGCTAAATGGCTAGACATTAACTTTTAAACACATTCACGTCAGACCCATTGTTCTTTGACAGTCTATGTTCATCAGTTTGTGTTTTCTGCAGGAGGAGATGGCTAGGATGGATAAGAGGCAGTGGGTTGAGAAAGCGATTCCCTCAGTGCCCTTACTGAATGTTAAGGAGGAGGTTTGGAAGAAACTGAGGAAGTGGTCTGTTGGCCATCACATGTGGAAGTTAGGTGTGTCTGCTCAGTGGCTCAGCGTAACTACAGTATAAACAGTGTGCTGGAGAAATATGATTCTCTATTCATGCAATATAGCCTTCTTCATAGGAAAAGTGCTGTTGGCACATGTCTGCCATCTGTTCCCAGAATACTTAATCAGAGCAGAAAGAGAGCTGGATCAGCTGTCTGAACACAGGTAAGAGTCTGAGCAGTGCAGGAAGCTCTTTTTCCATGCTGAAGTGGTGCTTTGGTCTTCATGGCTTTATAGATTTGTGTTTATGACTACTAATGGAAGCTTAGAGTGCAGTCCTGTAAGCCTATTTGTAAATTGTTACTTGGTAAAATTGTCAGTATATTTGTTATTTAGTATGTTATTAAATCAGTTATTAAATATTAAAGATAGTCAGTTCTTGTTAGATTCTTATGCCGAGTTCAGACTGCATGATTTTTTTCACACTGCATGACTATCTGGGGTAGCGTTCCGTCAGCGCTTTGTTTGCTCTGCAAGATTGATCGGCGACAGGGGGATTCACACTGCATGGCTTTACAATAAGAAGAATTGCCGACAACTTTGTCTTGGTCCACAAACTATGTCTCACAACCAAACATACAATAAGTGAAATGGAAGCAACGCAATGTCACGTAGTATATATTTTTTGTTATTAACTACATAATGGGAAAGAAGCCTTTAGTGGGGTAGAAATGTACTTCTTTTCCTCACCTGGCCTTTGAAGGGAATTAGCAATTTCTCCTAAACTTTTTTTTCTTTTTCAGCCTGATTGCTCAGATGAAACGTCAAACAGACACGGGTGCTCCTGTCAATTTTCCACTATTTTTTTTTTTCATTTCTTGGGTCCAAATGAGTGCTTTTAACTTCACCACCTGCTGTAGTTGTTTATTGGCTGTAGGCAATTGCCAATGTTATTTTCAGTCAGCAAAAATGTCTGTCAGTGTCTAATCCGCGATTCTCTGTTTGTTTCTTTTATAGTTTGTACTTTGTGATTGTTACACATGTAAACGAGCATCGATATGGCGATAGGTAAATTACAGATTTCAGGCATCTGCTGTGATTTCTCAAAACCTGTCGACGAGTCAAAATCGTGGCTAAAATCATGCAGTTTGAACTCTGCGTTAGGTTACACTGCGTTACACTACTAGTTACACTACCATGGCAAATCTCAAAAACGTCTATTTTTTATATTATATGAGCAATTCCAAAGTCATGGATGTGACATTTGCAGGAAAAATTCAAAACATAAATTCACATAGAAAGTATATGTTAGCATTATATTAAAACTTTTGTTTATATTTTTCAGAACAACTGACCACAGAGTTACGGGACCAAAAGAATTTTAATCTGTTAACATGTTTTGTACTTCAAATGACAAAAAAATATTTATTTTTAAATTCATTACTTAAACACATTCATTTTAGTTTTATTTTTTATATATTTATTTATTTATTTACACATTTAGACATTTGTTTCTATTAAATATGTATTCCTAAAAACATTTTTTTTATCATTTTGTTTATAAGTTGTGTATTTAGACATTGATTTTTATTGACAAATGTGTAATTTTGTGAAAATCTGACTCAGATATTGGAAAATTTAAATATCTGTGTGTATCCATTTCATATGTACACAAACACACACACACACTGCCATTATCAAGCATTTGTTAATCAGAAAGAATTTCTCTTTTAAACGTTAGCATTAATGCACATATTTTATGCACATAGCTTGAATAGCTGGTTGTCTGTTTTCTGTCATAAAAGATGCCCTTGTCTCTAATCACCACGTCAAGGTGAAACATGAACATCTCTTTCTGCTCACCAGTTCGGTCTTGTCATTCTGTAAACTGCGAACAAATATTCTTAACGTATCAATTACTTTTCACAACAAGTTTCTGTGCTGCCGGTCGCCCTGGTGTACCTGTAATAATGTCGTGTTGGAGAGTCTCCAGGGACGAGCGTGTCTTTTGTGAAGTGAGGAATCCAGTGGCTGTGGGTCTGTTGGCTTGACGCCCTGACAGGGTGGAGAGGAGCCGAACGGCTTTCTGAATAACTGTACCGAGCCCAGAGAGCTGCCAGTGGATCAGGTTACTGACTTGAAGAATTTTGAACCGCTTTGTCTGCTGGAAGGTCCCGCTGATCCATGGGGCTCGCTTTGGGGCCGCAGGCTTTGTGGTGGGGCCCTCTGAGGAGATGCTTGCTGGGGTTCCATTGACTTCTTTTGCATTTTCTGACTAAAATATTGTGTTTCTATCTCCTGTTGTTTTTCTAGTTTTTTCTTGCCCAGCTTTTTGTTTTCATTATACAAGTATCTTATCACTGATGTATCTCATCATTCCTGCTTGTGGAGAAAAATCTGTTTCTCACAAAAGCGAATTGATTACTGATTTTTGTCATGAAGATGGCTGCTTTATTTTCCCTTTTAAATGTCTGGTATTTCTCAGAGTTCTTTGGAAGTGTTGTGTGATTGGCCTGTGGGACATTCTTTTTCTGTAATGCACGCAATGCTGAAGAGGTAAACAAAATTGCAGAATCCAGTTTTGAAGACTGATTTGAACTGAACTTTCACTCCAAGTACGATACCTAAGTGGAGATCTCTCCTTACCCTAAGAGAATAAATAAAGGATGCTGCATTTAATGTCTCTTAACGATTTAGGTGTGAACATGTCATGGTCAGAATCAGCTTTATAGAACATAATAGATAGCACAGATTAAAAAAAAAAAATGGTAAGAAAAATGACAATGCAATTTAGAAACATTGCAGATGATTAAAGAAGAATTCAACGTCTCAATCAAGAAAATGTTAGCAGTGAATATTTGATGCATGAGAAGTTAAAATACACACCTATAAATCCATTACTTCCTTACTAAAAGGAAATAGGCTTATAAACTACTGTTTAATGCAATAAGTAAATTACATCACTCCATATTATTAAATATTTGTAAAAAATGCAATATTAAAAATACCCACAATAAGTTTTTTTAATACATTTAATATTCCCAGCCATTTTTTTTTTTGTGAACTTAGAATATTGTGAAAAGCACAGAACTCTCAGTTCTTTTATGTAAAAAGCCCTTAATACATGCAGTAGCTGCTGTATGTATAACCCAGGTGTACCCATGTATCTTCCTCTGCTTGTAAATGCATAAACATTTGTGATCAGTTTATGAGATCAGCCAGATCAGCGAGTACCAATCGAGTCATTAGATGTGATTGTTGGCCAATACCGATCTCTGGCCAATCGATCCGAGCATCCCTAACTAGTAGGATTAATTAAATTTGCTTTTTGATTACCTTTTACTTCAGTTTTTTTTATTACTGACTGTTATGTTAATCAATAAACTAAGTCCTAAAAAGTAATTTGGACAACTTTTTTTTGTGATTAAAATAATGCTTGTTACATGTTGTTGTATTTATGTATGGAAGAAAAATCATTACATTTCAGTTGGCATGCTTTTGTTCCTAAAAAGATGGTTTACTAAATGTTTTAAATTCTGTTATGATTTAATCATCCTCCACTTGTTCCAAACCTGTTTGAGTTTCCTCCTCCTGTTGAACAAAAGGAAGTTATTTTGAAGATTTTAGGAAAGTAGCAGACATTCAGACTTCCTTAGTATTTTTTGTTTTTATTATGGATATGATTTCCAGCAGTCTTCAGATTATCTTCTTTTGTATTCAGCAGAAATTCATAAAAGCTCGGAACCATTTGAGTGTGTGTGCCGAGTAATCTGATGGGGATCGATTATTGTTCTTGTTGCACCTGTGTGCAGGTTGATAACTGAAGTATCTAGTCATTTACATAACTTCAGAAAAGATTATAATAATGGTCAAAATGCTTCCATTCAACACAAAACAAATAAAAAATTGCATTCCAAATGATTTTTCCTCATTTCTCAGTCATAATATTCACACCTACAGTTATTTAGCAGTATAATCTCATTACGTATTATTTGGACTGTTGAATGTGCTTCATAAAAATGAATTTGCATTTACATCTTAATTTAAATGTGGTCAGAATGTGTCCCAGGTCACCTGCTAAATGTGGTTTTAGCAACCCAATCATTATTCAGATCCAATCTTCTTGACTTTCGAGTCTAGGGGGATCCCAACCCGGTCCCATCACAGAGGAGTCATAAGATTGTTACGCTCTAAATAATGTCAGCAGAAAAATGTGGAAAGGGGCTCTTTCACATGATGGATGCATTTGAAGAGCGATGAGAACATTTTTGGCCCAATAATACACCTCAAAAAATGGGTATTTATTTAAATCCAGAAGTAAAAATGTGCTAGCTGGCTCAATGCCGGAGGTAGTCCTCTGTGTATTATGTCTATAGTCCAGCTGTGTAGAAGCACATTCTCTCTAAGAGTTTCTCTTTCAGCTTATAAAACACCCTGTAGTGTAAATGCTGTTGACTGCGGTGGAGTGCATTTGACTGTTAACTAGTACCTTGTGATAAATGGCTCCTCATTGTGTCTTCTCTGTGTGTCTGCAGGGTCAGAGGTCACTTCCAGCTACAGCAGCAGTAGCAGCAGCAGCAGTAGCATCATGGCAGATTCTGTTATCTCAGAGATTCCCCCAACCATGTGCCTGGAGAAACCCAGCATCGACTTCAGCTACGTGGGCATCGATGCCATCCTGGAGCAGATGAGGAGGAAGGCCATGAAACAGGGCTTTGAGCTCAACATCATGGTAGTGGGTAAGTTGATTTATGAGCTAGTGTTGAGATTAGTCATGTAAATTAAATGGTACTGGAGCAGCAGAGGGGTTATTTCAAAACTCACTAGATTTATTTTAGACACTTAAGTCAAATTTAATTTTAATCAGAATTTGTGTTTTTTTTCCACCACGTTGGTAATAATAGCTTGGCTTTAAAAAAGCTCTGTAATTTGTGCATTTGGTGAAATTAAATGCCACAGTTAAATGCCACAAGTCTTTTTTTATATTCATTCATACATGTTTGTCTATTTTTGTTTGTGTGCACTTGTATGTGTTTAATCTCGAGGCTCTCGAGGCATGTGCTACTCCAACATATCAGTGTTTTGAATTTTTAGTCCATAAGGTGCAGTGTTAATTAGGTTAATTTAATAACACCTACTTTAATACAACTGAAAGTTATGAACTTGCGTATTAACTGCTACTGAAACTGCTGCTACTTCACTGACTTTTGCTCTCAGCTTACATTTAAGATACATGGTAATAGTCAGTAATACTTGACAGACTGCATACTTCTGGAAATATTTCCACTTTGACATTACTGATGCGGTGTACTTATTCATGCTTGTATGATTCCATTGGTCAAATCAGTCACCTGTCAGACTTTATGCTTTCAGTTCAGGCAAACTACAGATAGATATGATCATGACAAAAAAATATACGGTTTGTAAAGATGTCCTAACAATGCAGCTCTATGATTAGGTTTGGGCAACACACTGATTCTAATTTCAGATATAGTGTTCTCTATAGCCCAGCACCAAGTGTTTATGTGACCAATTGTCAAATCAAGCTGAACCCCTAAACCCCACGTGTGAGCAATGGTAATAATGAAGCTGGCTTTATGAACACTACTAATTAGCAAAAAGCCTCAAGAGGCTTTAAAATTTTAATACCACCTTCAGCAGTGTGTAAACTAATGATCAATAATTACATTTATTAGTAATAATGACCATCATAAACAATAATTGCACCTAGAAGAGAAGGTCATTATGTTGCTGTAGACTGCTCGTCGTTGCTAAGCAACATAGTAATGTGATGCATTAATGTATAGAACTTAATTGACTTGCAATCTTACATCTGCATATCATCACCTTGGAATTATAAGGTCCTATCTGCATTCTGAATGGTTTTGAGATATTGAGCTTCAAAGTTTTTGCATTCCATAGCAAACAGTATGTATGTAACTTTGTTTTTAAATAAAAATTCTTAATGTAAACAACTTATATATAAATTAAACATCCCATAATGTAATAAGTTGTCAATAAATAAGAATGTCAATAGCTCATTTCAACTCAAATTCCGATTTTGTTAATGTATCCAATTTTTTTTATTTTATTTTTTTATTTTTTATGGCCCTCTTACATCATCTTTTAAAAGTCACTCATATGCGATTGTCTGCATTTATACTGGACACTGCAAAAACACAATGACCAGGAAAAAAAAGAGCAGGTGCTGACAAACAGCTGATAATAAAAGAGCGCTCTTTTCTTTATTCCTGTATTTTAAATACAGGGTTTTATTTAAAAAATAATTTTTTGATAAGTTGTTTTACTATAGTTTATGACAGAAAAGTCCTCATTGGCCATCTTCCTTTAATCTAAGCCTTTTAGAAACAGTAGCCATTTTAATGTAATGTCCATGGCAGGATGTATGCAATAGTTTTATTTTAGTTTATATTGGTTACGTGGCAGAAATTGCACTCTCTCTCTCTCTCTCCTTCTCTCCTTCTTGTTAACATGCCTAAATACTTGTGTTACATGACAATATAAATGCTTTGTGTGTGAGATTTAAGGTTTGGGACAAGTCTGTTCTAAAATGAAAGCGTCAGAGTTTTTTTCATTTGCTACAGTTTTTAATGAAGTGCCACTCGCATATCGGATACATTTTCACATATGATCAAGGTCTGAATCGCATTTGAGTAAATCGGAATCCATATGATTTTAGTTTTTTTCCCGTTTACACGTACATGGGCCATATCCGATCTGTGCCCCATGGGAAAAAATAATCAGAATTGAGTCACTTGAACCATGCAGTGTAAATGCAGCTCATGTGTATATTGCAAGGATGTGCACGGTCTAGGTGACTAAATGATACAGCTCCTACTAGTTGACACACAAAATATATTCAGATAATCATTATTCTAACTCTGTTAGTTATATTTGTCATATTTAACAAAAATGTATACTAAAATAAAGTTAAAATAAAATGTTTGGGAAAAAATGCATTGTTTCTAAAAATGGTATCTGAGTGCAGGCTACCTTTTTACTTCTGACCTTGCCTGTTTTCCCTATGTTAGTTGCGGTGAGCTCTAAAATGATCATGTGAGCAAAGAGTCGGAATAATCAGAATTATAAGGGAATGAAAACATGTCTGAGAGCTTTTTTTCTGGAATAAAACGTGATATAGATGAGCTGCAGCTCACTCTGCTGGATAGAGCTGTCTATCCTGCAACCCTGGAGGTGATACGTGACCTGGATGGCATGTAGTAATTGAGCTTGGTTGACCTGCGGTGCCCTCAGTTTAAACTCTGCATTAGTTTGTGTTATTCAAGGTAAGTGTGGCCCGCTATCCACAGCTGTCCAGGTGCTTTACAAAACTCTTATCAACTTGATTATCTACACTCCTGCAGAGGGTGTCCTGACTTTCACCAGACCATATTGATATGTTAATTTCACTGAAAACCTATGGCCTGAGTAAGTTAAATTGCATTACAAACATTATAACCTACATTAACTATTTTTAAAGCCGTTTAAATGCTATTTCTTTATCTTAACATTCATACTTGTATTTAATGCTGGCAAACATTATATAAACAATGAATATTTCTCTCAGATTATTCATTGATTTTATTTTGTTTGTTGTACTGCAGTGCTGTTATTAAGCTATGCACTGCCTGATGCTCTTTTTTTTAATTTTTAAGAACCCTTTAAAATTGATAATAATAACAATAATGCGAGTCAAGGACACGGCATATTAGTTTAATTGACAAGTCTGTTACAAAATGTCTGTTTAAATGACCCTTACCGCACATCCCTAGTTAAATTAAATAATTGGCAAAGAGTCTGGGGCACCTGGTGCTATTTTTCTGTTTCAGACCCAGCTGAAACAGTTGTTCTATTAAACTTCTTATGATTTATTTGGTGTTTATGAGGGGAAATAACTAAGCGCAGCACTGTTGAAAACAGCTAAATGAACCTGTACTTACACAAGTCTGCAGCTGGATTCTCACATGTGGTTCTCTGGGTCAGTGTGGCCAAACCTGCTGTTGACTTAACCCAGTCAGAGCTGAGAGAGCCAACCCTCGGCATCGGCGTTCCCATTCCCAGCTGCAACTCCTGTCTCTCATTCCATCCCATTTTCACGAGGAAAGTGTCAAAGCAGAAAGGGGCTCTGTTTGTTGGCAGTATTGGGGAGTAGGAATGCAGCAGGGCACATCTGAATCCAATGTCAGTGGTGGGATTGAATGACAGGGAGTTTAAAGAGCAAGAATTAGCAACCCTGCCCCGTGCAGAAAGGAGCAGGCACTCATTACTTCAGTGTGATGAACCCAATGCTGACGGATGTGAGTTAGCGGAAACCACAGCTAAACACAAGCTCCTGTTAGTAGGAGCCAATGGAATGATCGTTTCATTCAAACCAGAGAACAGGCAGAGTGGAAGCTACACTCATGAAAAAGACCTCCAGTGCATATAAATAGTATTCTTCTACTTTGGAAGCTTTTGTATCTAGTGGCTCTTATGACTCACTGCTTTTCTTGTGATTTTTGAAAAAAAAAAAAGTTTATTTATTTTATTTATTTTTTTGCTGCTTTGGATAAAATGCGTAACTAACACGGTATCCTAGCAACACATGATGTCACAAGTTTCCAGCAACAAGCAATCTGGGTGTCCATACCAAACACAACCTGACAGAATCACTGAAACACCATACATTCAGAAGCGCAGAACAGTGCACTGCACTCCCAACCTAACGGACAGGTGTATAATTCAATTAATATACATTTAACATCATTAACATTATTAAAACTATATTCTGAGAGACTGATGTGGTCGACTTGAGTCACTTCTAACGTTCATGTTTACTGTACACTCACCGGCCGCTTTATTAGGTGCACCTTACTAGTGGTTGGACTCCCTTTTGCCTTCAGAACTGTCTTAATCCTTCGCCGCACAGATTCAACAAGGTACTGGAAATATTCCCCAGAGATGTTGGTCCTTATTGACATGATAGCATAACACAGTTGCTGCAGATTTGTTGGCTGCACATCCATGATGCGAATCTCCCATTCCACCACATCCTAAAGGTGCTCCATTGGATTGAGATCTGGTGACTGTGGAAGCCATTTGAGTACAGTGACATAATTTTCATGTTCAAGAAACCAGTCTAAGATGATTTGCGCATTGACATGGCACATGGTCAATTAGTACTAATGGGCTCAAAGTGTGGCAAGAAAATATCCACCACACCATTACACCACCACAAGCCTAAACTGTTGATACAAGGCAGGATGGGTCCATGCTTTCAGGTTGTTGATGCCAAATTCTGACCATACCATCCGAATGTCGCAGCAGAGATCGAGATTCTTTAGACTAGGTGAGCCTGTACGAATTGTAGCCTCAGTTTCCTGTTCTTAGTTGACAGGAGTGGCACCCGGTGTGGTCTTCTGCTGCCGTAACCAATTCGCCTCAAGGTCCGACGTGTTGTGCGTTCAGAGATGCTCTTTAGCATACCTTGGTTGTAACAAGTGGTCATTTGACTTGCCTTTCTATCAGCTGGAACCAGTCTGGCCGTTCTAGTTTTCAAGTGATTTTTACTAGATGTCATATTGGACATACAAGATTAACTCATGCCTTTTTGCTCAAATATGAAGACCCCACTCAATGTTTGTAACTCCTCTGACTGTAAGGAGGACATTATACTAAATGTCAACTCCTCTGACATTTAGTATACTTTATCTTGCCTCTTATATTTTAGTATTATGTCTATTGTTTGTGTTTTACTCTTTTTATGTTGCTGGTCTCTGTGAGTTACCAAACAAATTTCGTTGTACAACTACAATGACAATAAAGTTCTTTACTTTACTTTACTTGTAAAACACATTTTACTGGACTGACCTGCTTGTAATGATTCCAGAAGACATTTTATGAAATGAACTCTCTTAAGGACATTTTTAACGTAGTGACACCTGGAAAAATGTTAGAATTTTTATTATGTATTAACACTAAAACTCTTATTTAATTTATGTTTTCATTTGTTTGTTGTTTTTAATTGTATATTTGTTATTGAAATATTGTTGGCATGAAAATAGCCTTGGTTGCTGACATAGCATTAAATTAAAAATACTTTACATTCTCTAGTGGATGAAGATCTAGAGTTTGTCTTGTCCACCGCATTATTGTTTTAAGTCAGTATTACTTTATGTAGTATTTATTTTGACGTACAAGCAGCTTCTTTCATAACCACAGAATGTGATGCTGCCACCGCTGTACTTCATATTGGGTATAGTCTGTTTGTTATGGTGGACCACTTTTGGCTTTCTCCAAACAGGGTGTTTAGTCTGACGGCCAAAAAATGGCTTAATTTTGGTCTCATGAAACCATAGAAGCTTCTTCCAGCTGGCTGCAGTGTCCCACATGCCTTCTGGCACACTATAGCTGAGATGCCATGTGACATTTTTTACAGTGGCTTTCTCTTTGCCACTCTCCCATGAAGCTGTTAAGCTGTTTCAGCCAGTAGATATCAACTCTTCCCAGTCTCATTGGTCTCTCAGTTTTTAGAAATCCCTTGGAAGATTTACAGACATGCTCTCTCTGTTAATTACTAATTTACTTGTATACTAGAATAGTATTATAAAAAATGATCACATTGGTAAGTATTTATTCAGTATACTTTGTCTATAGTTTTGTTTCTTTGATATCAAAGATGAGACCTTTTAATCTTTTAGGACATTGGGAAATCATTGAGGTTTATAGTCTTTTGCTTTCTTGCAGTTTTGGTAGTCGTGATACAATACCCTTCAACCAACTTTTATAGCAAGTTAAGTAAGTTTAATAACTTGCATTTGCTGACATTGTAAATGGTTGCAGAATTATTACTGGTCATAACTATACTATGATGACATACTATGATTTCACCCTTAACTTTCACCTTAGTTGTATAGAAATGATTATGTAGATATGAAAGTATAAATAGTGTATAAAAGACCCAGGGTCCGGCGAATAAACGTAGTTAAGGACTACTATTATAAAACAGTTCTTTCTGCCATAGTTCTGTATAACTGCATTAAGTTTTTTTTTTTTTTTTATCATTTTAATAAAACTCTGACTTTCGCCCAGAAGGAAAGTAAAGGCAAAATTATTATGGTATATTCCAGTCTTAGTCAACATGAATTGTTCTTCATGTGTGCAGGTCAGAGTGGTTTGGGGAAGTCCACACTGATGAACACGCTCTTCAAGTCTAAGGTGAGCCGTAAGTCTTTCATGGGTACAGCTGAGGAAAAGATCCCCAAAACCATCGAGATCAAGTCCGTCAGTCATGGTAAATCTGCACAGCTGGAGTTACAGTTTTTTCTAATCGTCATTTTACACATTATTCATACATTCAAAGCATGCTAGTTCATTCACACATGATTTCAAAGAATGCAATCAACCACATGAATGCATTAAAATCTTGATTCAATTTCAGACATTGAGGAGAAAGGAGTTCGTATGAAGCTGACTGTCATAGACACACCAGGGTTTGGGGACCAGATCAACAATGAGAATTGGTAAAGTAGCTTGACCATTTGTTTATGATGTCTAGTTTAAATTTAAAACATGCTCCATTTGTCAGGATATATTCTTGTGAATTAAATGACAGTTTTAACTAAACTCTATAAAAACAAAACCAAACCAATATCACCAACCATCCAAGGGAAACTGATCATTTATTATACAATAAAATCTACCTGGAATGTCTCCAACACTTAGTAGACATTTTAAGCAAAAAAAAAAAAAAAGTCATTACATTTAGTCTCTGTCAACAGTTGGCAGCCCATAATGAAGTTCATCAATGACCAGTATGAGCAGTACTTGCAGGAAGAGATCAACATTGACAGGAAGAAGAGGATCCCAGACTCACGAGTGCACTGCTGCATATACTTCATACCACCCACAGGACACTGGTTAGTAATGCATTTTCTTACTCTTAAATGTGAGAAAATGCTTCCAGCGCATGATGCATTAATAATTGTTTACATGTCATTGAGTGAACTTTGAATATGCAAACTGTAATGGCTTCATATACCTTGCTTAATATGCCTTGTAATGCATATTTATAAAAATATCAGCTCTATTGTGTTGAGTAAGTGTTGTAGACTAGATCATTTATTCAGATGTGGCTTGTCTATAGATTTTTATTTACTAAAATTGTAGGAATGTCATGGCTCCCAGAGGGTGGTGCTGTTCATCCTGCAAAACAAAGTGATGTTCAGTGTTGATTGTATGTAATTTATTAAAATATGAAACCTTAAAAACTAACCCTAACCCAAGATCCAGAAAAAAATTTTCTTCGGAATATATTTTTTTGAGAAAAAGGAACTGTCTGGGCATCTGTCAGTTTAATCATTTTAACCATAAAAACCTGACCTGCTTGTAAATTTGGTGTTGAGTGCAGTCACCACACTTCTAATTTTAACAAGACCTTGTATAACACATTACTGCTGGACCTTTGGCTGGACAGGCTTTTTTTAACAATGTGATATTTACAGAAATGCTTAGCAATAGAGCAGTTTCCCCCTAACAATATATTTGTTTGGGATTTTATAGAAACATTATATAAAATGAAATGTTCTTCTTGAGGAACTATTGTTTGCATAAGGGATTTGTATTTATCGTTTACCGTTAGCACATTTTCTTGCTAATAATCTAATAACAAGTTTGTGCCAAATGAAGTGGGTGGTCTGTTCTGTTGTTTGTCTCTGATAGAGAATCATTGTATATGCTTGTGTGTTTATTGTTTTTTGTTGGACGGTATGAGTCTCCAGACATTCAGTATTATTATTATTATTATTATTATTATTATTATTATTATCAGTAATATTATTATATTTATTATATTATATTTATAGCAACCTTCAAAATAAAAACAATAGCTAATCTATATTTATGTGGACTTATAACAGATGCTCTCTGTAGTGCAGAGTAAATATTGATAGACCAATTACCTAAATGAAGTTTAGACTAAATATTGATTTTTATTTATTGATTATTCTGAGCTTAATCTGTGAAGTACAAATGATGGACAGGGTTGGGGCGAATGCTTTTAAGAGAGGTTGTCATTTCTAGTTTAAAATAACATTTTTTGTTTGTTTTCTTGCTGAGCTACAAAAAACCAACTGTAATTAAATGTTTCATTAAATGCTAATTGCAAATACATAAATAAATATTTTGTAAAAATGGAAATACTGTCACTTGACAGATAGAGCACAATGCAGAAGACACCTGCAAATCAAGGCAAAATCAGGTCTATCTTGACTAGTGTAACTCCATACTGTTGTAAATTAGATTGTTTTTACTTTAATAAGTTCATTTTAAAACAAAGTATACTGTATTAGTTAATACAAAGCAATCTTTTTAGGCTATTTTTAAATATTAATAAATAAATTAAGAATTACTCATGGCAGCTATGTTTACCTTCGACCCACTAGCCTCAATCTAGTTTGGTCTTTGGCCCTTTATAAAAAACTTTGGACACCCCAGGTTCAAAATAATAACAAATCAACTGTATTCATGTGGCAAAGCTCTAAATTCTTAACATTATTTCTCCAGTCTAAAGTGTCACATGTTGTTTCAGTTTATGCTCAAGGCATATTTCTTATTATAAAAGCTTAAATACTTTTTCACAGTTTATTTCATGTGGATACTTAGGATTCTTTGATACCCCAGATTCTTTCCATAGATATATAATTCAACATTTATTTGAAACAGAAAAACATTGAAGATTTCTGTTGCTTTTGAAAAATTTGATGCGTCTTTGCTGAATAAAAAATCTTACTGACCCCAATTATTTAACAATAGTTTGTGCTCTAAATGCATAGTATATCTGTGTTTCATGCACATAAGTTATGCATATGAATAACGCTGTTTGATGAGATATTGAAAGTCCATGTCACTGTAACATCTAAGACATAAGATTGTCCGTCCAACCTTTTTTTAATAATAAAAAAAGATCTGAGAGCCCTGAACACACATGCCAGACACACAACCATGGATGTGGAGTCCTGATGCCCTGTAGCGTGTGTTGCAGTGCTTTCAGTGGGCCGCTGTGAATGACTGACTGTTTCATGTCCATCCAGCACTGCAGATGTCACCGCTCCACAGCTGCATTCTGGCTTTCAACAACTCGGCTAATTAGAGTCGAACAGTCAGCCATAGAGACTACAGTCTGCATCCGCTGCTGTCACACTGCGGGAGATTCATTCACTTCTGAGAAAAATAGCTGTGTGCCTTTTCCTTTCACATTCACAGGCCTCCTTACACCCCTGTAAAAAGCACTGCGTGAAGAATAATTCCATGCCCAAGTGTTTTAAGAGCATGTGTATTTTGGGTGGTTTTCGCCCTCTGGTGGTCATTGTGCAGTCCTGTTAATTGCATTGTAAGATTAAAAGGATAGTTCAGCCAAACATTTACTCGATCTTTACTTGTTTCAAACCTTTAAGTGTTTCTTTCTTCTGTTGAATGCAAAATAATACATTTTGAAGAAAGCTGAAAATCTGTAAACATTGGCTTCCATAGTACCTTTTTTTTCTACTGTGGAAAGCAAGTTACAGGTTTTCAGATTTCTTCAATACTTTTGTGTTCAAAAAGAAAAAATAAATTCATAAGGGTTTGGAACCACTTGAGGGAGAGTAAATAGTGAGTAAATTTCCATTTTTTTAAATGAAGTGTCCCTTTACTGAAATGGGTTTAAGATGTGTCCATCTTTTTGTTTTTTCCCCACAGTCTTAGGCCTTTGGATGTAGAGTTTATGAGGCGTCTCAGTAAGGTGGTGAACATAGTTCCTGTTATCGCTAAGGCTGACACTCTGACTTTAGAGGAGAGAGACTTCTTTAAAAAGAAGGTAAGCTGACGCTGATGGCCTTGCAGGTAATGCAACTACGGTACATGCACTGCAACTGCGTTTTAGGCATCCCGAGTTTGAATTCAGGCTCGCGGACCTTTGCCGATCTCACCCTCTGTCTCACTGTCTCTCTTCAACTTCACTTACTGACTAACTGCTACTATTGTTCTAGCACAAAGACAAAAAAACAAACAAATCTTATGTAAAAAAAGAAGCTACAAAGGTAAGCTACAAAAGTCAATGTGCAGGGCTCGAAATTAACTTTCTTACTTGGTTGCACCGGTGCTCCTAACCCAAAATATTTAGGAGCACCAGAAAAAATTTAGGAGCACCAGAAAAATTTTAGGAGCACCCACCAAAAATGAATGATATATTTGACAAGTTGTATATTAAGGGATTTATTGTATTTGAAAACAACATCAATTGGGACTAACAAAACCAGAAGCAACTATCTAACTAACGTTAATAATGACTTAATATTTGTGCAATAATTCCAAAATGAATGTAGAATAATTATAAAATATTAATGATGACGATGATGACACTAATACTAATAATGAATTATATTTCTCATTTTCATGCTAATGCAAGTTATCTGCTATATAAAGTCCTACTGTTACTTTATGAAAAATAAATTGATGGATTGCATCAAACACAAATGAAGCATTGTAGTAAGAAATATTTATTTTGTACTATTGTTTTTATATGCATGTCAATTTAATAAATAATATTTCTGCTACAAAACAAACAAAATACTATAATAAATCATTTAATTCACTGCTGAAAGCTGCAAAGCAGTCAGTAATTAAATAGAAAAATAATATACACCTCAAGAAAGAACGGACAAAAGAAAGGAAGAAAAGTCTCACTATTAAAAGTTTTGATTTCGGTTCGTGTCGTTTTAATGCTCAGCCTGGTTACGTGCTAAATTACATTTTTCTGTGTTTGCGGAAAAGCATGCGAGTCAGCCGGACCAATATATGAGGGGGAGCAGAGCAGGATTCTCCCGATGACCACCGGCGCAATACTGTTCTTTGTTATAACCCGCATCAGTTTAAACTCATTAAAGGCAAGCTTCTTTGGCGATGGTGTTTTAGCAGACATTTGCGCTGTTGCAGCCTGATCTCACGGGGAAACGTATGAAAAAGTTACGAATTGCCATGAGATTGTGTTGGCTGAACATGCAGTGCATGCAATGCATCGAGATTCAGTGCACTTTTCACTCTTCAGCCGGTTGCATTCCCCGCGGTCACGAAAGCTCCCTCCCTGTCATCTGACAGCGGAAAGTCTTGAGTGATTGACAGCTAATATGAACCAATATGGCAGTTTTACCACGTTTTTAGAAAAAAACCAAAACAGGTCGCACTACAACCATTATATGCAGTCGCACGAATGCTCCCAATTTATATTATGAGGTCGCATAGCTTAAATTTTGGGCGCATATGCGACCAAAATGGTCACAATTTCGAGCCCTGATGTGCCACAGTATTTTTAAGTTGAGACAAAATACTTACTGAAAGATAAGCAGGAATTTTGGTTGACTGCCATGTTGTACAGCTGGTATTGTTCTTTATTGGAAAGATTTTGTCAGCATAAAACATTTTGTTGAACGGAATTAAATGTGGTTTGCTAAATCTTGTCAAGTTAAATAAATGTCAGGACAGTACTATTCTAATATCATAATGATAGGGGAATAAATCTGTTGTTCAAAAGACAAAAATGTAAAATAATATGACTGCTAATATATGTAATTTTTCCAAGTCGGTTATCTTTCAATAACTTTTATAAAGGTTTATGACGGGTGAGATGGCGTTAAAAACCTTCATGGTATTTAATAGGGATGCTCTGACCAGCATTTTTGAGGCCTATAATGATTCCTTGTCATCATGATTGACCAGTACAGAGAACTGATTCTGATTCTTCATGCTTTATAATGCATCAAGTATATTTTCCCTCAAAGTATGTTACTTAAGTGGGGATCTCGCCTTACCTGAGAGAATAAATCATGTTGCATATAATTACTTTCACATGTCTCTTAAAACCATTTAGTGTGAACATGTCCTGGCCAGAAGCAGGTTTACAGAATAAAATAGATCAAAACAATTAAAAAAATGCTTGACAATGCATATTAGAACCATTGCAAATGATGGAATAATCATTTAACATGTCTCCCTGAAGAAAAAGTTTGGAAAAGTTAAAATGCACACATATACATTTATGACTTATTTAGTAAAAGTAAATAGGCCTAAAAACTAATAAAAAAAGTTCTATTTATTTAACCTAACAGCTGTAATGTCTGAACATCAATGTGCCTCTCGTGATCTGTTCTCTTGCTCATCCACCATTCGTTCTTGTCGCCATGATTTGCGGGTCTAACAGAGCAGCTATGAATATGCGGGAGACTTGCGTATCTTCCGGCAGAGGTCTTACTGTTGGATGAGACGACCAGATAGGCGAGTTGATCGAGTCATAAAATGTGATTATTGGCCGATGCTTATCTCTAGCCTATCGATCGGTGCATTCCTAGTATCTGAGTTAAGAATTTATTTCAAATGTTTTATAGACAGAACTGTGAGGAATATATACATAAGAAACTTTGCAAGAAAAATATAAGCATGTTGTACTACATGACTTTTTGAGTTTTCTAAATGATTTCTTGAAAATAGCATAAACATTTTTCAAAATCTTGTTTCCATATACATTGTTAAAGTCAGGTTTGTTAGTTCAGCCACATTTACAGACATGCAGAGAATTGGAATTACTCTCAGACCCTGGGTGTATACAGATAACGCAAGAACTCGAAACAATCATATAAAAATACAAATAAGATCAATAAATTTAAAAGAAAGATACTAAATATAAAAAGAGCATGAAAAAGAACTTTCCATGCAACACATTTATTAAATACTATTCCTTTTCTTTATGGTAGGCATTGTATTTTCTTTTCTATGTTTAAGATGTACGAATTCATATCTAACAAAGAGATGGACTGAGAGGTTTTAAATAACAGACAAAATACAGTGCGGATCTTTGTGCTGTGATCCCCATTGGAATACTCTGAAGACCACAAACCAATGCATTGATGCGTGGAGGAACTGGTACATGCTGTCATGTTGTTATTCTAGCTGAAGTTGGCAAACTGACTCTTTTTCTTTCCTAAGAGGTTTCCAAGATTGCAGATGGTGTCTAGTCTACTACTCCTGCAGAAACAATACTGCTTATTTATAATGTGAGGTTTGATTACTTCAGACAATTCACACAGCAAAAAAAAAAGTATTTTTATTATGCTGAAACAAAGTCAGTGTAAGAGTTTCTGCAGTTTTTGAGTAATGGTATGAGACTGAGGTGACACATGGTGTGATGAGGTGTATGTAAGCAACATCTGTTTTGGGGTTGTTAGTTGCATTTCACATAGCAGAAAGGAAGGGATTGCCAACGTCAGCAACTGCTTGTGCTGGCGTGTTTTTTTTTGCATGAGTATTAAAACAGAAATACTCTAGACCTTTCTCTTTTTTAAAAAAAAAAAAATAAAAATTGGCTGTCAGATTTCAAAACGTTTTTTCTTTACCAAGGACAAAAAAATCCCAAAGTAGTTTCAGAGAAGTCCATGATCACTATGTGTTGTCTCTTGCAGACTGTTGTAGCTCTGAGGGATGTACATTGAGTTCAATTTCCTGTACACCGTAAATCCCAACAGTCAACTTTATCAAATTAACTTAAAATTTACTGAAAGTTAACTCATTTGAAAAGAGTTTTGAACTCTGTGTTGAAGGTAATGAGTTAATTAAATACCTTATTACTTCAACTTAAATGGACTAAGCTCACAGTACTCATAGATTAGTTTTTTTTACTCAATTGGTTTGTAACAATCAGTTTTCTCAAACAGTTTGAGTTGCCTTAACTTATTGGGTTTTACAGCACTCAATTGGTTTGAGTTCTCTTCATTTTTTGTGTTTACTGTGCTGAAATTGCTTCATATACTCAAACGGATTAAGTTCATAGTACTTATTAGGATTAGTTTTTGAACTTAAATGGTTTGTTGCAATCAGTTTCATAAAATGTACCCTAACTTTTGGGGTTTACAGTTTACTGTTATCTATCAGATTAAACCATAGATAAAAAAAAAACTTTAAAGATCCTGTGAAGTGCTTTGTAAAGTGCAGTTTTTATTTTTATTTTTATTTTTTTTTATGTGTGATGTAAGTTGAACTGAAACATAAATAATGGGCAGAAATAGAGTAGCCCTTTCTCTTTTTAAAAACAAAACAGGCAATAGCATTTCATTTTTATCATAGCTTTTGCAGTAAGAGTAGTTAAGTTTAAGCGCATACAGCAATCACATATCGCAAGGGGATGGTGCATGTTAGATACTAGAGAGCATTTGTTTGGTCAGGATTTGATGAAAAACTGAAGTATGCGGTGATATAAAAAAAATGGTTGATTCATTTAGGTGGAGCTTCTTTTAATGCAAATTCTGTCACTTTTTGGAGCACACTAGTTTATAGAAATCCTTCAAATTAACATATTGAGTCCACCATCCAATAACTTTGATTTCAAATGGATTGTTAATGGACAAAACCCCCATAAAGTTTTGTAAGTTTATTAGTTGTGAAAATATTCTGTTTGATATTATAGCTGTGTGGTTAAAATGTAGTGTTTGTAGTTTAATCATTGAAGAATAATAGGTTGTAAATAATAAATGAAGAAACCATGTTTTTAGTCTTAAATACAAAAGAAAACAGTATTTAGTGAAATAACTCCTGTTCGAAAACATTTGCTGTTTTGGCCATTTGTCATTTTCTGCAAAAAAAAAAAAAAAATAATAATAATAATAAAGAAATCCTCTAAATAACTTGGGATTGGAAATGATGACATTGTGCTCGCGCAAAAGACAGGAAATGTGAATGGCCCTACCTTAATAGCCTCAGTCATAGTTAAAATCAGCCTTTAATCCTTTGTGCGTGCGTGTTGTGTACAAGCTTGGAATTTTTAACTAGAGCACAGTTGGCATAACTTTTAGTTGCAGCAGTTTTGTTCCATGCAGAAGCTCGTGTTGAGAGGCCTTTATGCCTAATTAACCGCAACGAATTAAAGCACGATTAATACCGAAATAGGTTAATCATTGCATCCCTATTAATGACATTTGAATTTTTAATTTGCAATTGGAATTTGAAATGGTATAGAATAAAACAAACATTAACATTTTACTTGTATACCTAATAAATACAGTACATTCAAAGAAACGGTAGCTTGTCTATGATGCTTGAAGGTCTATTCACGTTTGGCCCATGTACTTTGCTTTAATTTTGTGCAGATCAGGGAAGAGCTTCGAGCCAATGGGATTGACGTCTATCCACAGAAAGAGTTTGACGAGGATGCAGAGGACAGAATGATTAATGAGAAAATAAGAGTAAGCTTGCACTACAAGAAAAAAAACATTCGTAGTTCATTGAAAACATGGTGATATTATTTGGTTCTTTCTAATCTCCATTAGGAGATGATCCCTTTCGCAGTAGTAGGAAGTGACCAGGAGTACCAGGTCAATGGGAGACGACTCTTGGGAAGAAAAACAAAATGGGGAACCATTGAAGGTATTGTGACTCTTTTGGTCTCAAAAGCCTCTTTAGAGAAGAAAGAGAGAAGGTGATTAGCGGACTATGCAGACAGCAAGCGTTCCAAAAGCACATCAAGGGAGCTCATTAACTGCAGACGCACGGCTGTGAGTCAAACATCAGAAAGGCTTATCCTCTGTAAATGAGGAGCCACTCACAAGAACATTGAGTGAGTCATGTTGACTGCCGGACAGTTAAAATGCCTTTATCATGAGTGCCTGCAGGGATGTGACCCATTGATGATGATGACATCACCATTTTCCTTGCTTAAGGATGATTGTAAAGGAAGTCAAGTACTTAAGTACTCGTAAAAGCAGCAGGCGAGATCATATATTGCTTGCAGTCAATTTTAGAGTTGTAATTCTTTTTATTTTATATAGTTATATAGTAATATATTGAAGTATAAAATAATACATGCAGTAATGTTTTAATGTACATATTCTCTAGCTGCTCTTCACCCACACACTCTTTTTCCTAAATGACTGCTATTCAGCTGCTTGTTAAATTTTGACAGGTATGATCACAGCAAACATTCAGCTCTGCGTTCGACTAAGAAAGAGCAGTTGACATGTAGTAATGAAGCTTCAGTCTTTAGTCTTCAATCACACGATTTTATTATTTCGGTTAACAAAAAGTTCAATTACTGTTAAAACAGATTGAAGTTTGAAGACATAAACTGATGTCTATGATAGCGATCAAAGTAGATTAAGTTGCTTGGTTTTTTCAACAGATGGTTGTTCATTTTCTTGCTATTCCAACAGATGAGGGAAAGAAACTATTTAAAATGCATTTTCTATTCATGCATGTTCATTTAGAAGATTGAAGAATTACTGATTTCATCTAAAATTGAAACTTGAATTTTGTGAAGTTATGTATGACTCATTAATTTAAATCCTTAATTCTGACCTGTATATTTAAATTATTAACACTCTTTTGGAAACATTTTAAAAGAAATAGAATTTCACAGTACTGTTAGTTGGAGAGATGATTTCTTTAATATTATTGTTTTAATTACTAATCTATAATAACTAAGTTTGTCTTTGTCACACTGACAGTAAATAATATTTTACTCATCATTTTGCAAGATACAAGTAAAGTGCATTT